TAAGTTGGAGGTGGTCCAGCTACAAGCTCACAGCAGCATGAGGGCAGGGGACAAGGGGCACAGGGACAGAGGGCACAAGGACATGGAGCACACGGACACAGGGCACAGGGACACAGGACACGGGCATAGTTCCCTCAATGTGAGGGACAAGGAGGCAAACACACCTGAGTGTGAGGCAGGAGGTGCAGAACCAGCGGAAAGAGAAGCAGATGCCTGGGCCCACTCTGCATGCCTTGTGGGCTGGCGGGGATGTGGACAAGTTGAGGGGCCAGAGCCAGTGCCATCCCCTAGTCCTCCCCCTCCCGGGCCAAACCTCCTCTCTTCCCCCCTCATTCCCGCCCTCAGTCCCCTCTCCCCGTCATTGCCGCCCTCAGTCCCCCTCTCTCCCCTCATTCCCACCCTCAGTCCCCTCTCTCCCCTCATTCCCACCCTCAGTCCCCTCTCTCCCCTCATTCCCACCCTCAGTCCCCTCTCTCCCCTCATTCCCACCCTCAGTCCCCTCTCTCCCCTCATTCCCACCCTCAGTCCCCTCTCTCCCCTCATTCCCACCCTCAGTCCCCTCTCTCCCCTCATTCCCACCCTCAGTCCCCTCTCTCCCCTCATTCCCACCCTCAGTCCCCTCTCTCCCCTCATTCCCGCTCATGGTCCCCCTCAGTCGGGACCCTGGTCCTTTCTCCTCTGCTGGACTCCCTGTCCCTTCAGTGGCTGGAGCTCGGGCCCCAGAAGCCGCCACTCTCAGGGCAGGGAGACTCTTCCCGGCCGAGGGGGCCGGTGGGGCACTCACCTCGCTGGTGCAAGGCTATTGCCTCAGCTATAGGGTAGTTGTGTCTGCACACGGTGTCCAGCTCGGCCCGCTTCTGCTCCATGAAGTCCTTCTGGCTGTTCCAGTACTCGGCTTGCCGCTGCCCCAGCGGGGTCACCGCGCGGTACTCCCCCACGTCGCTGTCGAAGCGCGCGTACTCCTCCCGGTTGTAGATTACGCTCTCCAGGATCCGCACGCGCTGCGTCCCGTTGGTGTAGTAGCAGCGGGGCTTATACTGGTACAGGAAGTCCTCTGCGGGGAGCAGCCTGTCAGGCCTTGCTGTTCTCCAGAGCTGCCAGCCCGCCAGGAACCTTCCCAGGGACAGATCTGCAGCCCCGCCCCAACCAGTCTCTGCCCCGCCCTGCCTTGGCCACAGGAACTGCCTGGGAGTAGAGAGGGGACCGAGTCTCTAGGAACCAGCGTCCTCCCCGCACGGGCTCGCTCTCGCCCCTCCTCCTGGCACAGACCTTCCCCCCAACAGTGCTGTCCCAGGGACCCACCCCTCCAACCCAGAAAGAGAGGCTCATCATGGAAAGGGCACAGGCTTCCGAGTTAGATCAGCTCCATCCCAGGGGGACTGTGCCAAAGGTCAGCTCCGGAGGTTGCCCAGAGCACCCAGAGCATAAAGGTAATTGTGTAGAAAGACCAGGACACCTACACTAGGGGTGGTAGGAAGACTGACAGTTTACATGAAGACAGAATCCTGTCTGAAATAAATGGCTTCTCAGCCTGTCATCCCCTCTTCACTTTCCCTTTCTCCTCAGTTCCCTCCACCATCAACTCAAGGTGAAATCCCACCCACTCACTGTGTGACCCTAAGTCCCTGGGAGGAAGCTGAGCCCCTGCCTGTGGCACCAGGTCAGCTGCCCGGATGCCAGGGTTTGCTGTGAGCCCTCTGCTCAGGCTCAGGACAGGGAGCCCTTTCCCCAAATCTGACACCACAGACCTGCTGCACACCTTTCCCCAACCAGAGCCCCTTTGTCTTTAGTCCAGACAAGGTCTTGGGGACAAGTCCTGCTGTCTCCTCTTTGGAGAAACCATTTTCCTGTCACTGGCAGTGGCCAGTCTCCTCCCTCCCATTGGGACATCCCCAGGCTGGAGCCCCTGAGATGGCCCTGTCCTCACCTTGTCACCAGAAGGCGGACATGAGAATGTAGCAGCTCCCTTTCCCAAAGAGGAAATGCTGATCACAGACTATTCTCAGGTCATAGCCCCCCCACGCCCCAGCCAAGGGTCCCTCAGAGCCCATCCCGGGCTGGCTGCGGAGCAGCTGCCCTGCACTCACATGGAGAGTCCCCGCCCTCAGCCACTGGGACACTCAGCGCCACCAGCCACACCATCACAGCTGCTGTCCAGGGGCCTCCGGGGGCCCACAGAGCCGGCTTCCCAGACATGATGGAGACAAAGGAAGAAGTAAGGGGAGTGAGTCCGGCTCCATCTGATGGCTGATGCAGCCACTTCAGAGAATAAAAACCTGTGAGAGCAGCCACACAAGGTCTCACTGGAGAGTCCCCAGGAAAGCAGCCAATCAGCACTGGAGCTGACCCACCTCATCTGTCTCCGGGCAGATGCTTTCTATGGAGGTTCCTTAGCCAGTGCCTGGAATGCAGCCTTCATCAAATGGCTCTGGATGAACATTTGAAGACTTTCTCTCAGTTATAGAAGGTGAATAACTTAGGAGTTTAAAGAACCAAGAGAGAAAGATGATTCAAGAGTGAACATCTTTTTGACATTTAGTTAAAACCTATTATTTTTACACTTGAGATTTTTAGGAGGGAAATAAGTGGGGGTCATGTATCAGGGAGAGAAAATCATTGTCAGGAGATGCTCCCTTCTATTATCTTAAACACTCCGGGAACGTGAAGCCGTGGTGGGAAGAGTAGAGCCGTGAGAGGAATGGTTTTGAGCTGCAGCTCTACCTCGAATGCACTTTATGAGACAACAAGTTACTCAACCTCTTTTAGCCTCGGGTTTCTCTTTGGAAAATGTGGATCATGTTTCATGCATTTTACATCTGCACCTTCATACACACACACTTACCAGCCACACAGCCCAGGAATATGACTGCTTTAATAGTGCAGTGTTCCGCTCTGCTGCATGTTTAGCTGTTGGGAATATCACACACAAAATGACACCACCCCTGCTGGCCAGTGAGTCTTCCTTATGAGAGAATCTACTGCATTTGTGCTCTTTGAATGCAAGTATTTCAAAGTTAAGTTGATTTTTATTTTTTGTTTGTTTGTTTGTTTTATGTAGCCTATTGCAAGCTCTTAAAACTCTCCATGTGAGGATTTTCTCAGCCTGCCATTGGGGCCGGCTATAAGAGCTGGGGGTTTAATGGCCGTGAGAGTATCTGAAGGCTAAAGAAAGATGACAGTAAATACCCCTGCTCCCTCACTTCTCCAGGGGATATTCTGAGGTGGATTCTACATTGAAGTTGATTTTTCTCTTCTAAACTCTTCTTCTAAACTCCAGGTCCATCTGATGTCAGCAAAGGCACAACCACAAACATTCACATCAACACGAAACAGGCACCTGTAGCTTCAGGACAGAGAACAAAGAAGTGGAGAAGCACCCTGGAGCCTGCAGTGTGTGACTGAGGGAGCAGGTGTTCACACTCACAGCTCATACTATGTAGCCCCTGAGCATTAAACCCCACAGGTAAAACTACTGATGTGTTTTTAATAAATGGAGAAGCATCCCTGGGGCCTGCACAGTGTGACTGAGGGAGCAGGTGTTCACACTCACAGCTCATACTATGTAGCCCCTGAGCATTAAACCCCACAGGTAAAACTACTGATGTGTTTTTTAATAAATATATTATTTATCAGACTCCTCTTGCTCATGACTAGGGGTAGTACTGAATGGTTATAGGGCAATTAAGATGATACCTGACAAACATTAATAAACAAGATAATAAGTCTCTCTCTCCTATATTTTAGGTCTCCTTTTAAATTTAAGGACAGGATCTGAAAGCAAAATATAAGGAGTTTACCAAGTAAAAGAAGCAGAGAAGAGACAACGACAAGAGGTGGCATTAGTGGCATGTGGAGGCCGTGAGCTGGTCCTGTTTTCTCTGTTGGGTGCATCGCTCCAGAGCCCCTGAGCCAGGGCATCGGTCCTGGGCTCTGACCAGCAGTGGTGGGTCAGGGTCAGGGTCACTCCAGAGTCAGGGTCGAAGCATAAGGGAGGAACATCCAACTCAGACCTGGAATGGGGCTGGGGGACAAGGAAGAATATGCAGAGTGGGAACTTGAAGGTGCCTCAGTGCCTAAGCCCCCACCTCAGGGTCCCTCAGAATTAACAGAGGCCTCTGGTCCATCACCTCCCTCCTGTTGTGGGGGGAAATTCCATCAGTGCTGCTCTGGGCCATGCACTCAGTGCTGATCTGGGCTTGCAGCAGAGGTTGTGTCAGGCCTGGGGATTCCCAGGTCTCACAGGCCTCTTCACACAGACTCTCTACCAGCAACAGGGTTGTCAGCTTAGACTCCTTTTTCTGATTGGCTAAAATCTCATCTGTAAGGTCTGGTTGGGCTTCTGCCAGCTGCTTCCCTGACCCAGTCAGCATTCTCTACATTTTCTAGATTTCTCTGCACTATCCCCATCCTGGATACAGTACTCAGGGCAGCCACTGGCCTGACCTGGCCTGGCCTGGGAGGAAGGCAACATCCCGATTCCAGCACCTCACCTGAACCACCTGGCTGGGCCCCTGTGGAGGCAGGGCCCTTAGGGTGAGGGAGTGTGTGCCACATGGGTAGTCATTGTGATAAAGAAGCAGCCATTAATATGAGTGCGGGTTATGGGAGGGAGTCTCCCCAGCGACGTCCTCCGTTCCCTCTGGTGGAAGCTTAAGCTTGGGGACTCCTTCCTGGTGGAAATTCAGGGAGAACCCGCCTTCCCTGGAATCCTTGGAATCTGCACTGGGTCAGTGGGGTTCACAGGGAACATAGTAACCATCTGTCACCAGAAGCGCCATCCAGGACCCATTCTGCATTCACTACAGGAACCAAGAAACATTATTCATTTTAAAGGGTCTGTGGCCTCCTTAATGCCAGCAGTCATATGGAAATACTGTCCCCAGAACATTATTTCCCTTTAATAACAATTCACCAAGCATTCATCCCTAAATTTTTCTAAATCTTTACGGAGCTACTCACATATGTCACTGTATGAACCCTTAGGCAACCCTTAGAATACAGTCTGTGATCACGCAATACAATTATATGCATTTCCCATGATACATATAAAGTAGGTCTTTTCTCCACACAACCTATCTCTTTAAAATCACATTTTAGAGAATCTGAAGAGTCAAATTGGTAGCAGAGTGACCACGGATAAACATTTCACCACGAAAGACTCAGGTTTCCCTCATCTGTAGGTAGAACACACACCTCACAGGACAGTCATGAATGCAGATGTACCTGTAAGAGTCCCCACGATCCGTGCTGAGCCACATGCACGTGAGTTTGGACATAATGTATGGGTTCATCTTTGTTGACATCATGAACAAAGACAGAGAAGTCTTCTTGTTATGTCTCATCTCTGTTCACATGTTAGAATTTCTATGATTTTTAATCCCTGCTACTTACCCCATCATTACACAGAGAAAAGGGGAGCAGGTAGAGCACATTAGATGCATTTGACCACGAACCCCTGCCTTTCCCTCTGAAGTGCCAGCACAGAACTGCCATTTAATCACAACTTCAGCTCTCAGAGCCTGGTCCTCTGCTCAGTGGGCTCACAAATGTGGAAACCTGAGTGCAAAACACAGAGTCACACAAATATCGATGAGAGAAGAACAAAGTGAGTGCAGCTTTGTGAGCTACATGGCCTAGGAGGACAGACTTCACCCATCTTCACTGGATTTAGAGGAAGAGGGATGGGCCGCTCCTCACTGTAGCTGCTGCCACATGTCTAAGGGCCCTGTCCTGGCCACAGGCTGAGTGCCCTACACTCCCCACCCATGATCTGGGTCCCAGGCAGCTCAGTTCCAACACTTCTATGCAGTCTTGTTTCCTTTAGTTCTGTCCCCCTCCCCGAAACCCAGCAGATCCCAGATGGTGGGTACTGTACAATATTTTTATACCCCTACGGAGTTAAGGTCTTGGGTTTCAAGGATCAAAATACACTGGGGCCTTGACTTATGAGTGTCCCGACTAACGAGTTTTTTGAGATACCAGCTGTCTCTCACAGATTTTTTGCCTTGAGTTGACAGAGTAATTTGAGTTAATGAGCTCCTTAACGAGCTCCCTAATGAGCTCATTCTCAGAACGAATTAAACTCGTAAGTCAAGG